GAAACGGTTCAAGCTAGGATTCGGTCTCTCTAAACCCCGCCTTTCCGAGAGCCTGCTCTGCTCTGATTGGTCAGATGGAACACAGTCTGTTGTGATTGGTCCACTGCTTACAGCGTGTGTCGGAAACCAAACTCATGTTACCATCCTGAATTTCAGCTGTTCCTCAGCACTTGATACACAGTGATACGCACAGTAAAGATACTGTATCTTTGATCGTCGTGTCTGTTTTACTGTATCTATGAAACTTTGCAGACCTTTTACCTTCACAAACCGATATATTACACACATGAAAGGTAATATCTGAGAAAGCATAATCGGGCACTTTAAATGGTCATTATGTTATTTATTTTATTTGTTCCTTTCAGTTTTGGAGGTATATATATAAAAAAAAAAAAGAACAATATATGAACGACTAAAAAGCAAACAAACAAATACATTTAAAAAGCAACAAAATATTCTCTCTCTTCATACTTCTCTTTTGAAAATGTAAGCACAATAACTGTGCTGAATAAGGGTTTCGCACAAAGCTCTGCTGGCATTCAGAAGAACAACTTTATAAAAGAGAGAGAGATGGAGAGATGTATATGTTGTTGGTTGTGTGTGCCAGTGTGCAGGTCTGTGTCACAACATGCCTCTAACACGCTTAAGAGATTCCCTTACTGCATCAATCTCTGATTATAAGGTTTGACATCTTTGGCTTTTGAGAGCTGAAAAATGCTCACACACAAAACCTCCTCTTTGTGTGGGTAAGTTCTGCCACCTGAACAGATTTGATTCAGCTGTGTGAGTGGATATAAATATAATCTTTTGATAGAGGAGATGATAAGCGGTGTCTGATGCGCTGGCAGACTCTGTAAGACACCTGTGAGGTTACTGAAGCGCGCTTTCCACTAAACGCTAATGATCCGTGCAGTGAGCCGAGCATCGGCAATGTTAACCATACAACCAAAACATCGTGGTTACTGATGGAGGGAACAGAGACGTTATGACAAAGACTGACAAATGGGGTCTCACTTGGGAGCGCCAATCACCTCTGACTTGTAGAAAAATGTTTTATTAAAAAAGTCCGGGAGAAGCACATTCAGATAATTAATCTAATTATCATGGGAGGAGTTCATCCAGTCAACTCGATTAGCATCAGGAGGTATATCTACAGCAGATTTACCACTGTTAAGGCTCGTACACACCGGGACGAATATCGGCGCGTTATTCGCCAGCGTTTTTCAACGCGTTTTTTGTGTTCACACCCAAGCGATTTTCGCTGACGATGAGCCGAGTGGACATGCAAATTCATTCCCTGACATTAGATGGCGCCCATTTTCTCTGAAATACCACTCCATAACATTCTCTTTTATTAAGATTTAGATGTAGTCGCTGTCGCGTTTGTCATATAGTTCTTTATGTTCCGACACCAACGAGACCAGCAGCTCTACATTCATCTTGCCTTGCATCTTATTTCCTTCCGGCAGTGTAGACGCTACTTGGCGTATATCTTCTTCGCCGTTACGTATGTGTGCTCGGCAAGACCGTTTTGTGTTTGAGCGCCCCCAAGTTGTGTTTTACTGTAACTTCAGAAGCTCCAGACACGTGAGCAAAAGCGCCAATCTCATTGGTCGGATAGTTTTTGACGCGGCGCGTCAAACTAAAAAAAACGAACCCGAGGCGTTTTTAAAAAAATGACGCTTTTACGCGTGGTGTTTTTCGCGTCGGTGTGCACACTCACATTGGCGCCCTTTGTTTAGTCACGAGGCGTTAAACGTCGGCGAATATCGCGTGCGAAATTCGTCCCGGTGTGAACAGGCCTTTATATGATAGTTTTCCAGCATCACTCCATCTCCTCACTTACTAGTCCTATCCCAACCTGGATAGTGTAAGTGTGAACTCGTGAAACAGCCAATGGAACTGGAGATTTGAATTTGCATGCCAAGCCACTCCCCCATACATACGGGCATATAAGATGGCGGCACGCATCCACTCATTCAGGCTTATGCTGAGGAGCAGAGACATTCAGAGGTGGGGTTCAGGGTTGTGGCAGGAGGAACGTAACGCCCCCGTTCCCTCTTTCAGGGAACCAGGGTTACATAAGTAACCGAGACGTTATGTTGAAGACTGATAAATGGGTCCCTATGGAAAGCGCCAGCGCCACTGAACCGTTACGAGTGTTGGAGACGCAGATGCTGGCAAGCCGTAGCGTGCCCTTTTGGCAACTGCTCTCATATAGTCGTAACCTACCCAGCATCCCATGTAAGCCCAAAGAATAACAGTCCTCCATGCCAACAGGATGGAAGGCACAAGGCTTACCACGGAGACGGTTGTATCAGCTGTTCCTTTTACATGTCGTTTCATGGGAAAACAGTTCTCAATTCCCTTTTTTCAGCCATGACCAGTGTTAATAATGCTGGGAAAGCATACCTAGTCCAATGGAGAGGGAAGCTACAGAGGTCATTTTTTTATTATTAAAGTGTTTAAATGTTTGCCGGTTCCTTCCTCCTTCCCATAACAACATACCTTCGCTACTTTAATCAGTTACTGTAATCAGTTTTACCATAAAATGACTCATTAATTTCTCCCAAGGTTTATTTCTCCATTCTGTCACCTGATGGGGTTTTGGTTCCTTGGCTTTTGGCTTGCTTAGTTGGGGACATTTAATTTAATATTCAACAATATTATTGATCTGCCTGCATTGACACCATTATATGCAGGGCCGGATTATCCATAGACGGGATTGGGCGAGTGCCCTAGGGCACCAGCCAATAGGGGGGCACCAAATGATTAAGAGAATGACTAAACCTTTAAAATAGTTTTCATGTTTTGTATATATTATTTTGCTGGAAAAGATTCAGATATAAAATGAACAGTTATTGATAACATATATACAGAGAGAATATAAAATATGCATATAAAGAATTGCGATTGGGTCAGGTCACAGTGTAGCCTATTTCTTCGAAATGAAGAAAAGTCACAGAGACATCGATCGGCATCACCAGCAGAAGCCACTAGCAGCGAAAAATGCCTCAACCGATACTCAAGCAGCAGCTAATGTTGTGAGCAAAGGCGGTAGCCTAACACAAAGTCTAGAAAAAGTTGTTCTGCTAAAGGTAAGGCTTATTTACCATTATTTCTGGGCAAATAGGCTACTGTATGTGACGCTGTTGTCGATTTGAAATTTGGAACGGTTTTCTCTTTTAGCTGGTTGCTTAGTTAGAGATGCTTACATGCATAACTTTTGTTTCAATCGGACTGAATTCATTCCGATCGATGAATCTGTTATGTTTACATGAACGCTAAACGTGATCGAGTTGATGATGTGCGCGTTTATACGCAAGCTTAAAATCGGAAGAGGTAACGTAGGCTATACTGTGCATACCCATCTCCTACATTGGTTCTTTATTTGTTTTAAACAGCAGGCTTAATATTTATCCATATCTGGTCATAATTTGGGGACAATGAGCACATGAACCGTTGTTGTACCGCGTTGCTTATATTTATCAGTAAATAAATGCCCCTCCCTTCTCGCGCCCAAAACCAGTCGTCTCTGGGTGATAATCCGAAAAATGACTGGTGGGACATTGTCCTGCTCCACTTCACAGACGCTGAGTGAAAGGAGAATTTTAAAATGACGGGACACTTGATTTTATGACACTTTATTCAACAGGAAGAACATTTCGAGCGTCATACGTCATTACGCTATTTCAACGTCATTGCACATACGCAGTCCTTTCAGTTTCGCTTTTTAATCCGAATAAAAAAAAAGGAAAAACCCACCCCTTTCAATCCGATCGAAATTTGATTCCGATCGAGCTCAATCGGATCAATAAAGGTTGAATAAAAGCTTTTCAGTTCGATTGAGCCGTCAATCCGATTACTAATGGATTTGGTTGCATTTAAATGTTTTGCTGCTGTGCGTCTCTGTGGTGCTGAATTTAGCTGATTCTTGGGCTTGCTTATTTGGTATATGGTTTTTTTTAGACATAAGGTTTTGCATGTAGTCCTCATACATGCCATTTATGATGGAAATAAAGATATTTAGGATGACATGTTCATGTTGCACTAGCATGTGAGTTGTATGGGGTGGGGGTGGGGGGCACTTAAAATGTGGTCACCCTAGGGCACTACACTGTGTTAATCCGGGCCTGATTATATGAGAACTCAACTGAGCTGGACGATGACATTACGGTTTTCTCCAGAGCGGCTATATATATAAATGAACTAACTTAATAACCTTTTTACAACAAAAATGAACTGAACTTACTTAAGCTGGACTGTGGCGCTATTTTCTTCTAAACAAACTTTGTTGCATTATTTTCCTGTTATCTCTGTAAAGCTGCTTTGAAACAATCTGTATTGTAAAAAGCGACTATTAAAACGGCTCATAATTGACCTATGGCTAAGCCACGCCCCCAAACGCTATGAGCCAATCACAGTGCGCATAGCTAACCCAATACACTCGGACATTCTCTGCTTCCACGTCCATTGAAATGCATTGCAGTTAGTCAGTTTTCATTCGTTTTTATACGTTTTTTAAAATGGTCAAACGGTGTGCATGGGGTACATGCAACTCCGACACTAGGTATCCCTAGAGGCAGGGCGACGGTATGTGTATTTTTTACCCTTTCCCAAGCCACATCTCAACCGAGATAAGTGTCTGCTCTGGATTAAGTTATGCGGTGGACCACAACACACGTAGTCAACAACGTATTTGAACGTTATCTTGAACATCTCTAACGTAACGTTAGGCTAACGTTAGCCTAACATTAGAAAACGTTGACGTTAGCTTCTAGCTGCGTTGTACATCATGTCACTTAGCTTCATTAATGTATCTTTAAATAACCGAGATAACAAATGTTAGCAATGTTGTGCTGAATGATTCATGTAAATACTGCAGTGCATGAACAATGCTGATCCTCTATCTTGTTGTCTGAGATGGTGATAGCAACGAGATGCGGTTTATCATGTTTACACTGTGACCTGTACATTTTTGCCTGGAGCTGAAGCTTTTCATCGACCTTCTCAACAATACATTTATTAATATAACCCTCCAATGAATAGTTAAGGCCCTTTTGGTGACTTCGAGATAATATATAATCTTTCTGTCTCCAAAAATCATCAATTGCCTCCTGTGAAATGTCTCCCACCGTGACAGCGCCTGTCACCGAATGTTGACTGTTTGTCCGAGTGAGTGGAGGGGGCGTGGCTTAGCCATAGGTCAATTACATGCATTTTAATGCTCTTTAATGTTCTAAAAAACTAAAAAAGTTCAAATATAAAAAAAACAATGATAATTTTTTGTATTTCATTTTATAACAAACAAAAAAACAAACCAATCAAACAACCAATATTTATTTATTTATTTATTTTCCAGACAAAGCTCTGCAGAACTTACCCCGCACTCAGAAGAGGATTAGAAAATACTGGGGAAGTTTTAGTGGAACATTATAGTGGCACATTTTTCATGGGCAAGCACCATTCACATTGTCTTAAGCAAAATATAAAGCTCTAGTCATTCCACCTAAACTGTAGCTTTAAAAAGGAGTCTTTCGCCAAAGATATCAGGCTCCTCTCAGAGGAGAGGGCTACACATAAACTACGTTAAGACCTTCTTTTCAGACTTCAACCATGCACTTCAAATATCAAGCATCTAACACCTTCCTCCTGCAACAGACAAAACAGCGGCTTTTGAGGATTTTGAGGCACCCGTGCTTGCCGAGACACATTCAAAACCCTTTTTACTCGTGTCAGAATACATAAATGAAAGACTTTGCTTTGGATGCATCGCAACACTCAGGAATCTTCTGAATGCAGCCATCATTTCCATAAACCCTCTCTATTCGGCACTCTTTGAGAGGAGTTCACTGTTAAGAGTCTTCATGTTAAGAGAAAGCACACTCATTAACTAGTATCCAGCAGGCAGGTTGCTATGTATAAAACCACCTCCAAGGAAAGTTCAGGGAGAAGGATTATCTGCCGAGGCAATATTCGAGATTGCACTCAGTTAATTGCAATTAGGTCATTTAAAGTTTTCCCCAGAGATCTGATCATCTCTTCTGTCCTCGCTTCTGCCATTCTGACTGACACTTTAACCAAAAAAAAAAAACAGCTGACAGTACATTTTCCAATGTATTTTGTAAAATAATGCATATAAACCCTAGACTCTAGTGGCATGTTAGTACCACTATGGTAATTGGAAGGTTCAACTAATGCCCTTTTACGAAGTCTTGATTTTGTTTTTGGACTCTACTTGAATTCGTTTTAATGCTAGAATGGTAAAAACAAAAAAACAAAAAACGCTCAGTAACGCTCTGTTTAGTTCCTGTCTCTATGAAGCCCCTCCTTTTGAAAAGCACACTGTGCTCTGATTGGTCGGCTGGACCGGTGTGTTGGGATTGGTCAAGCACTTCGAGTGTGTTTGGGAAATGTCCCGCCCCTTTCCATAACCGCCAGTTTCAACACACTACTAACTAACTCAACCAGGCCCCGCCCCTTTATTCTGCGTATAAATTATTTAAATTAGGAATATTGTGACGTGTTCGTTCCCAGAAGAAACTCAAGACTACAATGGAGGCGTTTCAGGGAGTTCAGAAACAGTGACACTGATATAAGAACTAATGCTGGAGGGACTTTGTGCTTTGGAAATTTGCTGAGTTTTTTTATGCTCAAACAGCAACATTACTGACAATGTAAAACAGCATAATGGCTCCTCTTTAAGAAAAAACCTCCTCTAACGTTCAGCTAGTGCTCAGGAATTGCAAGTGTTGGCACAATTAGTTTCTGTAAGGGTTGGAACAAGTCGGGAACATGCCGCCAGAGGTAGAGCTATTTGGTAAATATGACAGCTGTTGGCACAGGTCTCTCTCAGCCTCGACCAAACACAGCGGTCCACATTAAATCCACTCCGATGTTAAAAGGTTGTCGTGCAAACAAGCTCGTTTTTCAAAAATGCCATTGCTTTCCAAGGCGAGAAAATAGCATGAGATGACATAAAGAGAAACAAAGTGAGATGAGATTTTGGTACTGGGACAAAGGTTGTCCTTGGGCTTTGGTGTGTACTGTATTTGCCGTGCGCTTATTTCAGGCCGAATAAACAGGATCCCGGGACACCGAGAGCCAGCATGCAGATTTAGTGCCAGAACGAATCAGTCTCCTTTATAACCTCAGAGCCCTGTGCAATCAAAAGTGTGTAAACCCAAAACAAAACGCTTTCACAATCTGAAGTCATGCATGATGCACTTTGAAAAATGAAGTACAGTGATGTGTTATAGCAAGTCCGATTGAATTCCATTACAAGAATGTATCATATATATATATGTATAATATACAAAGCTCTGCAGAAAAAAGGTCCATTCACATCAAGGATGATAACTATAATAACGATAAAGATATATTTTTAAAAATCATTTGACATTTAGAAGAATAGCAGAGTCCACACCACAACGATAACGACAGAGAGGAACGATATCGTTGGAATCGATTTCAGAATGATTTGAAGATTTGATTTCAGTCTTTGGGAAAACGTGAGCTGAATCTGACCCGTTTTCCCCTTCATAGTAAAGAGTCATAGGAGACTGCAGCGACTTCATTGTTAAACCCTCATTAGACATGCTTTCTGATTAAAGAATGGGCAGTTCCTAATGAGGAGGTTGCAAGCAAGATTGGTGTCAGGTTTTCATTCGGGCAATTCAAGAGAATAACCATTTTAATATGGGTAAAGTTCGTTTTGTTGATCTCCTGATTGCCAGAATGGACCCACAACCCAAGAAATTGGTGCAATAAAGGTTAGTAAGAGTTCCAGCATAACCACACCCACTGTGGAAAGAAGTAGCCAATAGGAATCAAGCTAGAGAAATTGACATATTTACCATTGGGTAACAGCTGTGGCTGCAGTGGCTGCTGTTGGACACTCCTTTCCTCTGCATACACACACACACATTACAAAAACACTGCTTAGTCTTCCAAGATTTACTTATTTTAAACTTTATAAGACACCCAGGCCAGTCAAATTTTTGTTTTTAGTAACCCTGGTGCTCAAACTGACCTTTTTATGAGGCTGCAAGAGCAATTTACGCCGCAAAAATTATGTTCTTCCTCTAGAATTTTTGTCCTGTTTTCCAGTACAAATCTCTAAATATTCCAAAATCAAGATACATTTACTTGAAAATGAACTGACTCGACACTTATTAAAACATGTCAGGAAAATGAACTCGTTTTCCCTCTGAAATAAATGTATCTTTCTTACTCCACTGGCATATTTTTCTTGTTTTAAACAAAGTCACTTCAATTTGATAATTTTTCACCCAAAAAAAAAAGACTATCTTAAGGAATTTAGCTTTTCAAGTAAATGTATCGTAATTTAAGAATGTTAAGATATTTGTACTGCAAAACAAGTCAAAAATACTGAGGAAGAGAGTCATTTTTTGCAGAGTAGTTCATAAACTCCCTGTCGAAAGACCAGCTTAAACCAATCTAAGGTTTGCAGGTACTGATTGTAGTTGGTTTAAGCTGGTTTAGAGCCCCAAACCTCACTTAAACCATCAAACGAGGCCAGCCTGATCAGTGGAAACCTGCTGGTTTAAGATGGTGGTGTTTTCAGCACTCGAATCATTTTCGTACACTTTCGTACAGAGAACAACAAGGCCGAGTGTTAGTCTTCTCATGCAACACTCTCACGTACAAGAGTGAATCAACACGGAGCAGACAGCAGTACACTGCTGTTTCTCAGTATTTGTGTCTTGTTTTCCAGTACAAATATCGAAACAAGATTCAGTTACTTGAGGAGCAAAATAATATTAAGACTTGTAAAGAATGTTTAGATAGTTGTACTGGAAAACAAGCCAAAAATACTGAGAAAGAACAGCACTTTTGCAGTGTAGACGCAGACCAGTTAGTGTGAGTCTGACTACAACCAGACACTTCAGGGTAAACATCCAAAATGAGCAGCAAGGCTTGATTTGATGTCATGCAGAGACAAATTGTGGCAATGATTCCCGCTGCAGTTCATCTAAGACATTCGATCACTTACCTGTGCTGTGACTTCTCTGTTTACATCTACACATAACCAAACTACCAAGTAAACAAAGTCTGTCCGGCCAAAAGACAAAACACTAACAAAAATATCTTCCAAGAATGTTTTGCTAATCTTCCCATTAATAATGAAGATGTTATCTCTAAAAATACGCTGAACGTTAAAAACGTTAAAATGTTTTTTTACAAACGGTTCTACGAATGTTAAAGGAACATTCCATTTTAGAATTTTGCAAACATTGTAGGAATGTTACTTTTAAATGTTCTCGGAATGTTCCGAAACAGGGTAGTAACATTTAAAAAAACGGTAACACTTTAAAATAAGGTTCATTAGTTAACTACATTAGTTAACATGAACTAACAATGAACTGCACGTATACAGCATTTATTAATCATTTACTAATACTTTATTAAAATCTTGATAACATTAGTTAATGCACTGTGAACTAAGTGGTTCATGTTAGTTAATACATTAACTAATGTTAACTAATGAACCTTATTGTAAAGTGTTACCAAAAAAAAAAACATTAAATGAACGTCCAACTGAAACGTTTCAGATAACTTTAAATGAACATTTTATTAACGTTAACGTTACATTAACGTATCGTTTGTTCATAACTTTGAGAGAACCTTGCCAGAACATTAGCCAAAGTTCTGAGAACGTTCCATGTTAGATGAGGAACTTGCTTATGAAACAAACATTTTAAACAATATGATGCCTGGGGATTGTGTGTACCAGCCAGATGTGAGCATCTGTTTCGGATTAGCATCACTCTCAGGCTAAGAATCTCCACAACCCTTTTGTTTGCTAAGTGTCTTCTGAGGAAATGTTCGTGCAAATCTACTGGCTTATGCTTGCCGTTTGATTGTAGGATCACATGAAGATGCCTGGACCCATGTGGAAAAACACTTAGCGGTTAGCCGTTAGCTGTTAAATATATAGGATATATTAAGAGTGAATTCCACTGGAAAGTGAGCATCACTTACTACAGTACTTGCTGCGAAGAAAACGCCGTGTACAGCCTACAAGAAGACATACGACTGTTAAGATTGCTGTGGCAGATTCACTATGGCTGGTTGTGTTTTTAAAGGGATAGTTCACCCCCAAAAATTAAATCCTGTCATCATTTACTCGTTCCAAAGCTTTCATCCAACGAAAGACCACTTTGACATTCATTGTATTGAGAAAAAAACAGAAACATTCTTAAAAATATCTTCTTTTGTGTTCCACAGAAGAAAGAAATTCATAAAGGTTTGGAACAAAATGAGGGTGAGACATTATTTACATTTTCGGGTAAACAACACATTTAAGGTGCACTACCATTTAAAAGTGTTGGTCAGTTAAAAAAAAAAAAGAATTAATAGAAAATAAAACAATTTACAAGAACAAGCATAGCCTTCCTCTTTCTGCTTTTGCTTCTGATAGCCTTTAGAGGGAAAAGCTGCCCATAACTGCTGGTCTTCGGTCAGTTTTTTTCGCCATAATAGTTTATAGGCAAAACAGATTCAGAAAGCGATCCAGTGCTTATCTGTGTTTACGCTCTTGAGAGCATCAAATGTTTCTATTTACAATCTGTTTTTGCAGCGTTGAGCAATGTAGCCAATCACAGACATGTCCGTTGATCTTATGAACGCAGTGGCCAATCAGAGGTGTTTAAGTTAGAATCCACTAACCACTGAAAACACTGTGAGTTCTGCATGCTCGCAAATCCTCTCATTATAGCAAACGAAATGTAGACACAATGGGTCTCATTCATGAAACATTCGTAAATATACGAGTAAATATGCGAGTGATTTGCGCGTAAAGAGACCTTCCCGAAAACTCATCTCCTGATTCACAAATACTTCGTAAACGTCAGATGTGATAGTGAAATGTGTGTGTGTGTTAATGAATTCCAATCAGTCGTAAATGGGACGCGCGTGCACGCTCATTCTCAATTACCATAAATCCCGCCCATTAAATCCGACTGACAACTATATATGGCCATCATATTATGACACCAAACGAAGGATTTCAACATGTCTTCTCAAAAACGAATGAAAAAGAAAAATTTCTCAGATGCAGAAATCAAAGTTGTATTATCAGAAGTTCATTCAAAACACCACATTTTATTTTCAAGCGTAGCCTACATAGTGGAGTATCAGGTCCTAAATAAAGGAAGCTTGGCAGCATATTACAGATGCAGTTAATGGAGTTTCATTTGTTAATCAAACAGTCTCAGAAGTAAAAAAAAAAACCCGTATGTAATTACTATATATAATATTTTTTCAAAATGCTGTGTAAATATGTACCCAATTAAGGTGAATTAAAATGCAGCCGTAGTTATTAATGAGCAAAACGTTCGGGCGTTAAACTCACTATTTACGCGTGGCTGGGAGCAGGTGTAGATTTCTTTCGTACCAACTAACATTTGGAAAATACGAACATTTTAATGAATCCGAAGATTTACGCCAGAACCACTTTACACACGATTTACACAAAAATACGTTCTGCTCGTGTTTCATGAATGAGACCCATAGTAAATAAATGATCCCTTGTGCAATACAGACAACTTTAATGATTATAACAGAACTTTGTGAGATCGTGATGCCAATGCCAAATCATGCATGCAGTAGCCTATGCTTGCTTTTCTGTTCAAATGAACAGTGGTTTGTGTATGTACATGTTTTAATAACCAATCATTTTTGGGGAGTATTTATGCTGGGATTATGGCTAGGCGACATGTAACTTGAAACAATTTCATGGAAATTTCATAAACGTACTGAAAAACCAACGCATTCTCATCCCAAGGCGTCATAAATTGACGCTTTTGACATTTCGTCTAAATCCAACGCACATGGCACCCTTTAGCGTCAATATAGTTATGGGTAGGTTTAGGTCTGGGGTAGGGTTAGGCCTTCTGGCGTCTCATATTGACGCTAAAGGGTGCCATGTGCGTTGGATTTAGACGAAATGTCAAAAGCGTCACTTTATGACGCCTTGGGATGAGAACGGGCTGGAAAAACTGATGGTTCTTACATCCCAGATAAGACAGATAAGACAAATCACAATGAATTGCCATTCGGGATCATATGATCATAAACAGGAAAATTACTCTAAAAATATACAGATGCTGTAACTACAAAGTGCATCTTTATCCATTGATGAACGTTCAAAAGTAGTCATTCTGACTAAATAAAATGTATTTCATTATATTACGGTCAGTGTTTTACCAGCGCCCAAATGTATCACCAGTTTGGAGAGACGCTAACGGGACGGTGTGCGACTGCAACTGCCAATGAGACGAATGGGAACGCATTCAGGTATTATCTGTTAATAAACGTGGATGTGTGCTATTGGGTTTGTTTTATTGCGCGCTTTTGAATCAAACCCCTTTGCTAAACCTGCCCAGGCAAAACTTCAGCGACAGATTGTGAAGGATGGAAGCCGTATAAAGTGCAAAAGTAATCAGAGCGGCTGAAATCCATCACTTCTGAAGAAAAGCAGTCAATGAGGATGAAGAGAGAAGGGTTTAGAGAATAGATGAAGCAGTTCAAGCAACACAAAAAGCCACCCAGTGAGATCAGAGTGATTGATTTTACTCTACCAATGTGCCATTTCAAGATTAAAGTCCCAGAACTATTGCGCAGAGGCCCGAATCAAAGGATGTTAGGTTCAAAATGACAAGAGATCACTTAAAGCTATTCTGAGCAAAATTGTTAACACCTGTTCATAAGGATCCATATCGTATTAATGAGGTCTGACTAACAAAAATATATGCGATCTGACGCACTGATGCAAACGCTGAGCTATTTCTGCAAGGGTTTCTGGGCAAATCCATCCAGAGATGCTGAAGTGTTGGTCAGGCTCCAGTCACTGACCAAATCACTGCAATGGCATCTGCAAATGTCTTTAACACATGCTACGTCTGGTCCGCTCTACCATTTTATTCGTAATATGTAGTAAACAACGTGAGGTGGGGATGGATGGCAAGACTTGAAAAGAATGAAAAATGAAAGCTTGTGCTGAATGTTTCTTCGACTGGGACACTTTTGGCCGTGTGGACGTTTAGAAAAGAAATACCCTTAAAATACACTCTGAATAGTTTAAGTCATTTGTCAATTTGCAATTGCCAACAGTGGAAGAATTCTTTTTGATCATTATTCTGAACCAAGAAATTTTATTCCCACCACATCGTTTAAAAAAATAAAATGGCTAACTCCTTTTGTTGCTTTGGATAATTTTATGCCAATTTTATGCATTTTATTCCAGCATAAATGCACAGAAATACTTTCACACTTTCTTCAAAGTTAGGCATAATAAAAAAATACAACTTGACAATCATCTTTCCACACACACACACACACACACACACACACACCAAGGATGCATTAAACTGATCAAAAGTGAGAGTAAAAGTACAAAATATTTATATTTCAAATAAATGCTGTTCTTTTTCACTTTCTATTCATCAAAGAAAATAATGTATCACACTTTCCACTAAAGTATTATGTAGCACAACTGTTTTCAACATTGATAATAATCATAAATGTTTCTCGAGCATCAAATCATCATATTAGAGTGATTTCTGAAGGATCATGTGACTCTGAAGACTGGAGTAATGATGCTGAAAATTCAGCTTTGATCAGAGGAATACATTACATTTTACAATATATTCACATAGAAAACCGCTATTTTAAATGGTAATAATATTACACAATATTACTGATTTTACTGTATTTTTGATCAAATAATTGCAGCCTTGGTGATCAGAAGAGACTTCTTTCAAACGCATTACAAATCTTACCATAGTAGTGTATATAAAAATATACTATTTGGTAACACACATTTTACTATTGTGTTTGAAAAGTAGCAAACAAGTGCATAATAAAAAGTTTCCACAAAAGTTTAAATGTGACTTTCATATCACAAAAAGTGTGAGTCTGTTTTATAAAAACCAGTCCCCCGGGACATAAGAGTGTCTGTCGTTGAGGAAACATCCATCTCTCCTCTCTCTTCTCACCTTCTCTTATCATGCCAACGGTTTCCATCTCCTCAGGGGATTGTGGGTAGGCCACATCCATTACTCCGTGACTGCAGCCCATCGCTCAACAGGGGCTCATTAATAAGTTCAGCTTGTTTTATTGTGGCTTTCTGGCCTATTAGAGCCCGTGAGAGAGCGAGCCCTGGATTCCTGCGACCCTGACAGATTCACCGCACGCCTCTGGCCTCTGTGGCCTGAGCTTTACTCTTTCAGTTTTGTCTTCGGGGGCCGTCAGACACGCCAGACGTCTCATTTGCGGAGCTGCTGGCGGGTTTTGGGGGGAACAGAGGGGTAATAATAGGGCGTCGGAGTGAGACCTTGACATAAGAGCTGGATCCAGTCGAGGAGAGAGAGTGCAAAAGAACGGATCAGAAGCCAGACTAACCACCGTTCGGTCGGGAAACAAGGGCCCTGATATTTAGGCTGCTGAAATGCTGCTTTTAAAGGTCTGTCTTTAAGAGCGTGTGTATGTTTGTTTCTATTTGGATGTGGCCGCTGAGAGGAGCGGTTGCTAACTTAAGGATTCATAATGCCATCCTGAAGTCTGCGGATCCGCTCAGTTTATGACTTTTCCAGCTGTTACGGCCAACGCTCCCGAGATCCATTTTCAGCTTCAGCTTACACAAACAGATCAAAAGTGTCTTTTACATATGAGCATCAGTTTCTGTCGCTGAGTAGCGGTAATAATGGCGATCCAATTCAATGCGACTAAACAACATAAAAAAGTATTAAATATTCACCTTTTTTCCCCCAAAAAATAAAGAAATATTTTTTGGTGATTCTCAAAAACAAAGATATTAAGATATTAAGAGAAATAGAAAAAAAAATATTAATTTGCAAAATTATTATTATTTATTTATATTATTTTTAAATTAAGCTAATGATCAATTAGAAAAAAATCATATGGGGTAATGTAAGTCTCATTTTGACATTTATTCATATTCTGATGACAAAATATAATAATAGTAATAATAATAGTAGAAGTAGTACTAGACCTATACTACTACAAATAATTAGAAATAATGCAAATTATTATTAGAAATTATGCTGAAAAAGTAGCACAGAAATAACAGATCTAAAAACACAAAAAAACGAATTTATATACAATACAATTTATTACGACTGCAAATTGTCAAATCAAACCTTGTCTCCTATATCTAGTACACAACTTCTAGTATATGTATTTATGTATTTATTTAATTACTGTTCATGTTCTGAGTAGTTTTACAAAAAATAATTAAATTAATATAATAAAAGTATATATATAAATGGGGTAATTTTCCCTAAAAAAATGTTAACAGTAGTTTTTCAAATAATAAAAAAATAAATAAACAAAACAAAAATCTACTCTCTTAATAAAAAATACACATCTATGAATCATCAAAAATGATTTTTTGGCACAGAGATTGATATTTCGTATGGCATCGGTGTAAACAGCCATAAGTCCGCTGTGGATCGCTAGTCCTTCAGGAATCACGGCTCAGTAACACAGAGGTCTGCTGTGATTGGTTGCAGTAATACAAAGCAAAGCTGTGATTGGCTAAAGAGGTGCAAAGAACAGCTGTGATTGACTCAGACACACAAACGCACACACTTTTTATTCAGGTCATAAGCTGCTGGGTGTAATAAAAAAAAATAAAAAAAAATGTAATGCTAATTATGCAGAGACAACTATAAGAAAACCAGCTTAGACAATCTTTATTTTTGCAAATTCGTTTAGTGGCGCTAATGGCTCATAAATTACACACAGCATTGTGACCAAACAGTGCTCTTTAAGAACGTGAAAAGTCGAAGGGAAATGTGTTCAAGCAAGCAAGGTTAAATAGAAAAAAAGACGAATAGAGCAGGAAGGCACATAACTCTTCACATTCAGTGATCTTGATTTCCTAAGTTTGATAAATTGTCAAATACATCAAGTTTATACCTCATGCGTAAGTGTCTTTCTGCGCTCAACTTTCTGTTTATAGCTCTCACGATGCCTGTAAATCCTCATCCGTGACTAGACTAATGGAAACACTAACATATGTATGTAAATGAAGCGTAACTAAAGGACAATGTGCTCACTGTCAAACACTTGAGGTGCACAGAACACCCCATTTCTCACTGTACGTACTGAACGTTGAGTGAAACTCTGAGATTTGGTTCCACTGCATAAAATCAAGCCAAACTCTGGACTTAACAGAACATTAAGTTTAGAGTTTCCATTAGAAGTCTCTTAAAGCCAATGCCTTTGCTTTAACAGTGTCTGCAGCTCACTAAGGATATTTTAAAGTCAATGTGAAATCAAAATCAACCCAATTTACTAAACAATTCAGTGGTGCACATTATTCCCAAAGATCTTCATAATCTTTCAACAAATGTAATTATGTCTAAGACTATTTTCATTTTGGCTGATGTCATCAATCACCCTTATTTTCCCATCACCTGTCAACAACTTTTTCCCAGTCCAAACAATTGACTGTGGATAAAACTGGTAAAAACAAGCAGATTTCTTTACTCTAGTTAAAGTAGAGTCGTGTGTTGCAGTGCGAGTGTTCACTAACCTACACAGGTCTTCCCATCAGAGTGAAGCGCAAACTTCATGTGGCAGGAACATCTGGGCCCGTGGTCCGTCTCCTCACAGATGTGCTGACAGCCACCGTTACCATAGTTACACGTCACTAGTCAAGAACATCAACATTAAGAGATTAGAGATCACTTACTTCTAATCACTAACATCTATAAACCCATCCATCCATCTCTCTCTCTCTATCTATCTATCTATCTATCTATCTATCTATCTATCTATCTATCTATCTATCTATCTATCTATCTATCTATCTATCTATCTATCTATCTATCTATCTATCTATCTATCTATCTATGACATTTGCAGTAAAGAATGGGAATCATTTTTCATCTGCTGCTCTTGTAATTTATGAGGTACCTCAGGGCTCTATTTTAGGGCCGTTACTTTTTTCCTTTACATGATTCCGCTGGGCTCTATATTTGATAAATATGCCATTTCATATCATAGTTATGCTTATGATACGCAGTTGTATCTTCCTTTTAAAGCAGGAAGTAATGAGGCTGAAAATTCTCTGCTTGGATTGACTGTTTATACTGTATTTTATTTAATTTTTATTCTAAACTGATTTAATTATTCTTATTTCTTTTGATTATTTTAATTTCTTCTATGTAAAGCACGTTGAATTACCATTGTGTATGAAATGTGCTATATAAATAAACTTGCCTTGCCTTGCCTTGAGGAGGTGTAACGTTCGATTAAAGGCACAATATGTAAGATTTTTTCGCCACAAGAGGGCAATAATAACAAAGGCGTAGGTTGATGACGCAGTGATGAGCTGAATATTGGGACTTGCTGTCCAGCTGATGGATCTAATAATGTTTATGGATGAGTGCAAACATTCATGTTTTTTAACATTGCAGTGGTATGAAGTAGGCCGCGATTGCTAAAAAAACAGATATCACACGCGAGTCCCGCGGATATAAAGCAATAAGGACATTTAATTCTACCGAACTACCCGCAAGTGCTGGATTACTCACACAGGTCAGTTTATTAGACGAATTCAACTTGTGATGGAACGCAGCGCTGCTTCACTTGGTCTAACGTTACACTATCACACTAAACGGCATTTAAATGTGTGTTGAAAGTTATAATGTTATACTACGTGTTAGTTCGTTTGCTATACGAAACTAGCAGTAAGCTAGATCAACATTAGAATAACATACTGACCATATTCTAACATTTCATCATGTTGAGCTAACGTTATATAACATTGATTTGTTTTATGTACATTTGCTCACCTGTCTAATAAAGCTGTCAAGTCGTGACTCGTGAAGCTCTGTCGAGTCCAAGTAAGTCGCGGACGCTAGCTCTCGGCATCTCAAAAACGCCACGCTGATATTGATCCTCATTTTAGTTCTCCTTGTTTGTCCCAAAGTCTGCTTGCCATGGTCTATGTTTGAAAGAAACAAGAACTGTGTGCCGCTAAACGTTACGCACTACGCAGTTGTCCACGTCTGTCGCCATGGTTACGTCATGGCTATGGCAGTATGAACGGAAACCGAGGATAGCGCGGATATTGCGTCATTGACGGGGGACATTTTTTTCCGGGACGGCCACTTATTTAAAATTGGAATTTCTCTGAAATAAAACATCTTTGGAGACTTCTGGGATATTGTAAGTACACAACTGCAGGAAATATATCACACTGTGCAAGTGATGTTTGGATATTTTATTACAAAATTCTTACATATTGTACCTTTAACTCAAATTTTCTAATGTAAAATGACAAAAAGTGATACATTTTTGGCAATATATATATATATATTGTGTCCACCAGTAAAGAGTATGGGCCAGTTTTCAACCATAAAAGGTCATGCCACTAACTTAGTTTCTTTCAATTAAAAAAGATTGCGAAATTGAAATCAGTTTTATCAAAGAATGATCTTGAAAAGGCTATACATGCTTTTATATCTTCGCGGCTGGATTATTGCAAAGCATTACATGCAAGTCAGACATCCTTGTCGAGGTAACAAAATGCAGCGGCCACACTGCTGACAAGAAGAGAGACCGTATAACTCCAGTTTTGGCCTCTTTTCACTGGCTACCGATAAAACAATGGATTAAGTTAAACATTTAGTTATTTGCTTTTAAAGACATCCATGGTTTGACTCCAGAGTACATCAGGGATCTTTTAAACAATCAACTTCCAGATTTTGCTTAAAGGGTTAGTTCACCCAAAAACGAAAATTATGTCATTATTATTTGTACGGTATACTGTCCTTGTCCAGAAAGGAAATAAAGACATCATCAAAGTAGTCCATGTGACATCAGTGGGTTAGTTAGAGTGTTTTGAAGCATCGAAAATACTTTTTGGTCCAAAAATAACGAAAACTAGGACTTTGTTCATCATTGTATTGTCTTCCGGTTCTGTTGTGGATCCGCGTTCAGTGCCGCTGCTGACGTAAGACGCTGCTGACGTGTGTCTGGTGTGTGTGTGTGTGTATTCTGGTTCTGTTGTGGATCCGCGTTCAGTGCCGCCGCTGACGTGTGTCTGGTGCGTCCGTGTATTCGGGTTCAAATAAATATGGCTGGGCAAAAAAATGCAAGTCTTCCTCTGTGTGGAAATCCTTAGACATGTTTGCGAAGAGTGTTTTGTTTCCAGCGTGCGTCTCCCTCAGACTGTAAACGAAGCTCGGGCGCACCAGACACACGTCAGCAGCGTCTTACGTCAGCGGCGGCACTGAACGCGGATCCACAACAGAACCAGAATACACACACACACACACACACACCAGACACACGTCAGCGGCGGCACTGAACACGGATCCACAACAGAACCGGAATACACACACACACACCAGACACACACACACACCAGACACACGTCAGCAGCATCTTACGTCAGCAGCGGCACTGAACGCGGATCCACAACAGAACCGGAAGACAATACAATGCTGAATAAAGTCGTAGTTTTTGTTATTTTTGGACCAAAATGTATTTTCGATGCTTCAACACACTCTAACTAACCCACTGATGTCACATGGACTACTTTGATGATGTCTTTATTTCCTTTCTGGACAAGGACAGTATACCGTACACACATTTTCAATGGAGGGACAGAAAGCTCTCGGACTAAATCTAAAATATCTTAAACTGTGTTTTGAAGATGAACGGAGGTCTGACGGGCTTGGAGCGACATGAGGGTGAGTCATTAATGACATCATTTTCATTTTTGGGTGAACTAACCCTTTAAGTGTAGAGGTGATCTATCTATCCATCCACCCATCCATCCATCCACTTACATTTACAGTCTCGGCTGTTCTTGGTGAGCTGAAATCCCGGTCTGCACTCACAGGCGATGGATCCTTTGGGCGTCTCTCTGCAAATGTGGGCACAGCCGTGATTTTTATCCATGCAGGTGGGCACGTCTTTAGTCCCATTAAAACGCACTGTAGAACATTAAGAAAGGGGGAGACAGAAATTATGATTCCTTTGCAAAACAGAGATGTCTGAATTGTTTACAAATGTCATGCAATAAATCACTTTATATTTATTTGTTTCTAGGTTTATCACATTGCTCCGGGTAGCTCCACCCACAGTGAAACCTCATTGGTCCAAAATCCTGTTCCACATACGCTACCAGTCATCAGTTGAGTAGGTACGATTTTTTTATGTTTTTGAAAGAAGTCTCATATGCTCATTTCTGTGATCAAAAGTAATATTGTGAAATATTATTATAATAAAAAAAAAAAAAGTTTTAAATGCGATTATATTGTCAAATGTAATTTATTCCTGTGATCAAAGCTGAATTTCAGCATCATTACTCCAGTCTTCAGTGTCACATGATCCTTCAGAAATCATTCAGATATGATGATTTGATGCTCAAGAAACATTTCTGATTATTATCAATGTTGAAAACAGTTGTGCTGCTTAATATTATTGTGGAAACTGTGATGTATACTGGGATGAATACAATTTTCAAAAGAACAGCATTTATTTAAGTCTTTACTGTAACTTTTGATCGTTTCAATGCATCCTTGCTGTGTAAAAATACAATTTATTTCAGAAATGAAAACTTACTGACCTCAAACTTTTGGACAGTAGTGTATATGTATATCAACAATAAAATATATTTTGACTGGCTATGATTTTGTTGCTTTGCTCGCCATTTTTAATTTCAGAGAAAAGAAAAAAAACACATTGGAAACTTTTATCACTTCTGGTTAGGAAACATTGATTACTGATGCATGACAAACAGTTCAATTACTCTCAGGAACAGCAGCTTTGGGATTTCCTTCAGTTTATACCACAAGTCTGAGCACAAACACATGCCAACCGACCTATGAAAATAAAATTTTCACTATTGTATCACTATACACCTTCAAGCATATACAATATCCCTGGCTCGTCATCATGAAACAGAAGTTGCGATCGTCTTTTCTTCTCTATTGTGACGTATATCTGAGTGAAACGGCTTCTCAAACAAGAACAAATGTATAGGGCGGGGCTTGTGGAACTGATTGGATGGTTGTGATTTGCTATTGGTCGATATCACGTGAGTGACAGGTTGCCCCGCCCTCAAAATCAGAGAAGAGAAGAGATGTCACTGCAAGAGGGAGGGGAAGTTATTTTAATTCAAGATCACGAGGGATTCATCCATAATAAATAAGAATTGTCATTTTTGATTTCACGGAGACTTTAAGAGCGTTTGGACGTCTGGTTCGGCTCGGTGAGAAAAGTATCAGCCATTCAGAACCAGAGGAACTGGGTGAGTGTTGCTTTTCTTTGACTGACCCCAGATCAGACTCATGTTCACCAGTGTTTGAACAGTAAGAGGAGAATGAAAGCACCCCTCTGACTTCAGACCCCAGGACGCATCTGTGTCAACAGACCCGCGGCACCCTGGGAAAGCAGCACACTGAAGGGAACATCTATACCCAAGGTTATATGAGAAAACAGTTTATATCACATTTATCCGACAGGAGTCAGTTACATATGCAGCCAAACTTGACAGAACTTTTACAGTAAAAAAAAAAAACGTGAACAGGAAAATATACCAGTAATATTCGAAATCCCTTGCAACTGCATACTACTTTTTCAGAAAATGATGTAAAACAAAATACATTATGCAATGATAATATTTTAAACAGTAGTATGATACATTGTTGGCACATGACCTCATCATGCTCATGTGAATGGCATCCAAGTCAGTGTTGTTCTTGTTAACTAAAACTAAAAAAGTCGTTTTTAAAAATCGTTTTCGTTAACTGAAATAAAGCTGAAAATAATAAAATAAATTATTTTTTAATAAAATTAAAAAATAAATATTAGATGAAAAATGTACAAAACTAATTAAAGCTAAATGGAAATATATAAAAAAAAACGGATTAAAAAGACAAAAGCAGTATCACTTTAAACAGTATCACAAAAAAATTGACTAAAACTAAAATGAAAACTGAAAAATGTAAAAAAAAAAATACTATAATAGTATATATAAATAATACTAAAATAACACCTCTCAGATATAAAAACACTTATTGTGCATTTTTAATTCTTTAAAAACGGCAATTGAATTAAATAATGTAAAAAAAATTACGGCTAATATTTTTTCCATTTTAGTTCATTTTGTCGCATGACTGTTGTATACTTTACATTTCAGCCTATATTCCATGCATACAGAAAATTACACGTATGCATATTGCAGAAATAATACGGTAGCATGCAATTCCCAACATAGTCATTGACTGTACATTTTACATGCTTATTCAGTCAACTTCCAAACACAGCTCATCTCTTAACAGGTTTGGTCAGTCAAAATGCTTGTAATAAAATCTAGCAGTTTAGGCCTCAAATAACAACAGTGAGAGCAGAAATACACTTTTAAAGACACACACACACACACACACAGACCCCGAGGCCATGCAGTATTTTAGCAGCTTTACAGGAAACCTTTCCCCTCCACACATGAAAAGCGCTGACAAATGTGGACAGAGGGGCGACAGGACTGAATGTTTTGCTTTCAATTGGTAATTCACAACCTTTCACATCTGCCGGCATCACTTTGATTAATTAGAACCTTTTGTTTTCCATTTCTTCTGCCAGAAAACAAAATCGGACCATTTTTTATTCTCGCTGCTCCTGGGAACTGATGTCTGAGGAACTTTCCAATTTCTCTAATTCATTCTCTGGGTCTAAATCTCCCCCGTTTGCAGCCGAGAATGATAATGTTTTCACTGATCGCTTCAACGTCGTCGCCCTACAAAACTTGAGTCGTTGTGCCGCATATTTGCACGATTCCCTGGAAAACAGACAGATGGAGGAACTTCTGTTGTTGGTAAACCACAGACTCCATACTTAAGGTCATTTCACGTGTAATGTTGCCAACACATTAAACTCTAAACGAAGCATAAACCCATCAGAATTCAACTTTAGACCCTTTATTACGTTCAAAGCACAATCAATGAACGAGACAATTCGAATGACATGCATTTTTTGTTTGCATTACATTGTACGACTTTGCTCATAAGTTTGTGATGTGTGACGTCATGATTTTGCAAAGCTTAAATATGAACTCTTTCAACAAGGATGCATTACATTGATCAAAAGTGACAGTAAAGGCATTTATAATTTCCTACACAAATGTTGTTGTTGTTTTGTTTCCAAAACAATATGAAGCAGCACAACTGTTTTCAACATTGATAATAATCAGAAATGTTTCTTAAAGGGATACTTCACCTCTGGAAAGATGAATGTGTATTTAAATGTGTGTACATTTATGTAGAAGAAATGTGAAATTATTTTTGAATTTGGAGCTTTCTAGACTGAGAAAAGCCAGAAAATGTATTTTTGGCTTATGTGGATGAAAGACAACAACTCCCAGAATTAGGGATGTCCCGATCCGATCATGCGATCGGAAATCGGGCCCGATCACGTGGTTTCAGACTCGATCGGAATCGGACGTTACCTCCCGATCAGGACTCGGATATATGTAAATTAGGGGTATAACGGTACATGTATTCGTACGAGGCTTCCGGTTCGGTAAGCATACAAACCGAACGATTCCTAGGACCATTTTTCTGCCGACAAAATCCGTGCTGGCGCGATCACCACAACGTTGCGCAACATCAAATGGAAAACGTAATGAAAGCGGAACGAAACTGCGCTACTCATTATATTGTGCTTAACGGACCATTTATCAGTTCGGACCAGCAACATCTGTGCAGCGTGAGAACAAGCGACACAGCGCTAAGAGATCCAGTGAAGAAAACATTTGAATTCGCCACTGAAGTAATAACATCGCTGCGAGATCTAGTGAGAAGCATTCAAATTTCTCCGTTATTAACCGTGGATCTCTATTAGATCAAACAGCGCTGACGTGGAAACCAGGAGAAACATTGTGCCGTGAATGAACATGGATTTAATGTTGCACTTCAAAATTCAAATATTATATAAATATATATTTAAATGTTATTTTTAATGTGATTACCAAAACATTATTTGTTCATCCTTCAAAGATTACCCCCATGTATAAACCTGAAAGTTTCAAGATGTAGGAAAACTCAAACTTATTTAAAAATATTTTTTCTTTTAATAAATAGGAAATTTCTCTGGCATTTCTTTCTTTTTGCTGTATCGTATCGAACCGAACCGCGAATTTTGTGAACTGTTACACCCCTAATGTATATATATATATGCTCTCTTTTTTTTTTAAAAGACTTTTTATTTTTTGTTTACATGCCTGCCGGGTATTTTAAGTTGAGGTGCTATTTGTTTTTATATTAGACTTTTTCTATATTTACAGTTGCACTAAAGTCCAAAAGTGAAGAATTTATGTTATTTATTACTTGATTGTTCAAGCTACCTCACAGAAGTGCTCTGTTTGTTAACAGTTGTTGAATGTTAAAATAAGGTGAATTAAATTAAAAATATTTTTTTCGCTCTTCTTTATTCTTTTTTTATGTATTATATAAGTATCGGATCAGGACTCGGTATCGGTAGATACTCAAAATCAAATGACTCGGACTCGAGGGCAAAAAAACCTGATCGGGACATCCCTACCCAGAATGCACTTGCTTCGCTGCCCCAGGAGGCCACACCTACCGGTAACAGAGCGCAGTAGTTAAACAACAAGGCTAGGCTACTAGTGAGTCTCCGTGATGAGTCTGCCCGGGATTTCGAGATCGCACAAAATGTCCGGGAATTTACTGTGGCGAGCAGGACGAGTGAGGGCCGCGGGAGAACGACACGAGTCATGTTTACTGTGGCGAGCAGGACGAGTGAGGGCCGCGGGAGAACGACACGAGTCATGTTTACTGTGGCGAGCAGGACGAGTGAGGGGCCGCGGGAGAACGACACGAGTCATGTTTACTGTGGCGAGCAGGACGAGTGAGGGCCGCGGGAGAACGGCGCGAGTCATGTTTACTGTGGCGAGCAGGACGAGTGAGGCCCG